GTATGGGAGAGGGAAGATGGAGGAACCCAATCTGTGGGAGAGGGAAGGCATGGAAATGCTGGCAACTGGTGTTCCAAGGACACTGCTGCTTTCCCTATGTCAGTGACTGGGTTGGGGGACGGGAAAGACTCCTACAGTTGTACAAGACAAGGCCTGTGACCTCATCTCCTAAAAGCACCATGGTATTACTACTTTAAAGCCACAGCAACCTCACTGCACTAAACACATTATTAGGTAAAGCAGAGAAATAGTTTTTGGTGCAGGGGCAAGAACCCAGGTCTCCCCAGCGAGCCTCCAGAGCCATCCTGGCCCACTGCTACTCTTGCATCTTGCTCTGCCATGCCCAGCCACATCCGGAAAGGCAATGATCCCCGCTCACCCTGCCAACTGTCTGGAGAGGGCTATGGGGTAGATAGACTATCTCATGGTTAACCAATGGCTTGAACAGGCAGAAAGATCCATTCTTGGCTAGAAAGAAAGGGTGAAGAAAAGGATTGAAGACAATGTACCTGGCAAGGCAAGGAATCATAGAATGGTTTGGGTTGGAAGGGTCCTTAAAGATGTAGCTCCATGAGCAGGGACACCTTCCACTACAGCAAGTTGCTCAAAGCCCCGTTGAACCTGGTCTTGAACACTCGCAGGGCAGGGGCATCCACATCTTCTCTGGGCAACCTGTTCCAGTGCCTTACCACCCTGAGAGTGAAGAATGTCTGCCTTATAACTAATCTAAATTTACCTTCTTTCAATTTAAAGCTGTTACCCTTTGTCCTATCACTACATGCCCTTGTAAAAAGTCCCTCTCCAGCTTTCTTGTAGGCCCCCTTTAGGTACTGGAAGGCTGCTATATGGTCTCCCCAGAGCCTGCCTTCCTCCAGCCTGAACCACTCCAACTCGCTCAGCATGTCCTCATAGGAGAGGTGTTCCATTCCTCTGATCATTTCTGTGGCCCTCCAACAGGTCCGTGTCCTTCTTGTGCTGAGGGCTCCAGAGCTGGATGGCATACTCCAGGTGGGTTGTCATGAGAGCAGAGTAGACAATCACCTCCCTCGGCCTGCTGGCCATGCTTCTTTTGATACAGCTCAAGATACTGTTGGCCTTCAGGGCTGTGAGCACACATTGCCGGGACATGTTGAGCTTCTCATCAACCAACACCCCCAAGTCCTTCTCCTCAGGCGTCCTCTCAATCCATTCTTCACCCAGACTGTATTTGTGGCCCGAACCCATGTGCAGGACCTTGCACTTGGACTTGTTGAACTTCGTGAGGTTCTCACAGGCCCGCTTCTCTTGCCTGTCAGGGTCCCTCTGGATGGCATCCCTTCCCTCCAGTGTGTCAACCACACCACTCAGCTTGGTGTCACTCACTTGCTGAGGGTGCACTCAATCCCCCTGTCCACATCCCTGACAGAGATGTTAAATAATGGTGGTCCTAATACGGGCTCCTGCAGGACTCCAGTCATCACTAGTCTCCACCCAGACATTGAGCCATTGACGGCAACTTGCTGGTGCGACCATCCAGCCAATTCCTTATCCATTAAGTGGTGCACCCGTCAAATCCATGCCTCTCCATTTTGGAGACAAGGATGTTATGTAGGACAGTGCCAAATGCTTTGCACAAGTCCAGATAGATGATGTTAATTGCTCTTCCCTTATCCACCAATGCTCTAATCCCATAGTAGAAGGCCACCATGATTTGGCCTTAGTAAAGCCATGTTGGCTGTCACCAATCACCTCCTTATTTTCCATGTGTCTTAACATAGTGTCCAGGAGCATCTGCTCCATGATCTTGCCAGGCACAGAGGTGAGACTGACTGGCCTGCAGTTCCCCAGGTCTTCCTTTTTTCCCTTTTTTAAAATGGGGGTTATGTTTCCCCTTTTCCAGTCAGTGGGAACTTCACCGGACTGCCATGACATTTCAAATATGATGGATGGTGGCTTAGCAACTTCATCTGCAACTTGAGTCCTGACTCAAGTACCTAGTGCCTAGATTTTATTCATACATATTTCATTCTGAGAAATTTTTGGAACCAGCAATGAATGTGCTGTCTGTAGGTGTCTCCATACTCAATTAGCAGTTTGGTAGTTAGCTGATTTGACTCCTCTGTGGAGGCATCATATTATTCATAGGTGCCTGAAACGCAGCACCTGGTGGTGTCACATCAGGGGGCACATGCTTTAAACATTAGATTGAAGGAGACAAGAATAATAGCTTATCATCTGAAGTCCAAGATTGGTTCCTCTATAAAAACAGAGAAGACACTCAGTTGATTCAGTAGTGAGAAAACTATTCCTTTTTGCACGTCTGTAAAGTGGGTGGTTGATTTCCATGAGCCTTGAAATCACGAAGGCCTGTGTAAATCCCACATCTTTGTATACCAATGCTTTTTTTTTTTCCTTCACACTGTGATGACTAGCTATGGAAAATGCTTTCCTCCCTTCAGATATAGTTGTGTGTCTGTTTTTTTCTGTGTGTT